CCCCACACACACATACACTATCTATTATTCATTAAGTGTAACCAATATATAATTTAAAACAGCGTTTTTCTTTTTTTTTCTTTTTGTCAAATAAAGTGCGGTCAGCACATTCTGCGCATATAACTAATATCTATAGCATCTTTGCAATAGTCAGCGTGATTTAAATATGCATTTACAGCTCTGGCAGTGTATATATGAGCCGGTCCCGATATCCAATATTCAACCACTACAAATTTTATGCTGACATCAATGGCAAACTATTAAAGACAGTATTTCATTATTGCGTTTTCATCCGAAATGTTATTTACAACGCGACGTGGCCTAAGCAAGAGATATTAAAGGCAGAGCCATTTAAATGAGGTGCTACCGCCTTTAACAATACGTCTGTCAGGGCTCGAGATTGTATTTAAAGATTTTATCGAGAATATTTTTTTTTAAATTTTTTTTTATTTTTTTTGTTGCGTCGCGAGGTTATGTTTTGTCCATGAAATATGCATTTCATATCTCTTTCATTTCATTAACATAATTTAATTTGTACTTTGCATTTTGTGCATAATACATATTTGATTTACAAAACAAATATTTCCATTACGAAATGAATTTCATGCAGGCAAAAAAGCAGAACCGAATGATGTATTGGGAGGAAAATAAGAAGAAATGGAATGCATTTTCTCAGTCTATTAAAAAATCTATGGCATTGACAGAAAGAGCACTCACAGCTACATTTAAAAAATAGCACATATATCAATGTATTAACAAATAGAAGTAGGTTGGAGGGTGGTGGTGGGGGGGGGGGGGGGAGAATACAAATACATGGCCGGATCAAGCCAAGAATCTCTTTATTTTAATTAAATTGAGTTAAATGTCCCCTCTACAATTTCATTTTTATTTTCGGGACGTCGGAGTAACTCATGCCACCGTCGATAGGTAGGACGGGGAGGTAATATAGAAAGTGATTTGACCTTAGAAGGTTCTATAAATTATGTCCGATGGCTTCGGAGCTGCAAAAACATTTATTTTAATCATTGTCCTTAAAGTTTAGGAAAGAAACGTACCCGATTCTGCAGACGGTAATAGAAGAGAATGGCTTGTTAGAGAGGGGGGCCTTTGGAGGCCATGAGCACAGAAGACGGAAGAAAAAAAGTTGGAATTGTTGACCTCAGTATCCATTTTTATGAATTTATATCAAAAATAATAACTGACTAGCCCACTCAGAACTTTCTATGGTTTATACTCTCATTATAGTCCCCGAAATCTACTGTCTTCCTATGCTTTGGTCTTTATGCTGCCCATAGACTCCATA